AATAAATAATTAATAAAGAAAGAGAAAATTTAGTTATTTCATTTGTTATTATTCCTTTTTTTACTGTGTGGAGGAGAAGAAACATTTGTGGGATTTTTCAACCCCAAGAGTCAAAACCACTTGTTTGACCGGAGGCACCAGGAACCATGATGGGAGGTGGGGTGGTATTTGTCGCCCTGCCTCAGACAGCAAATTTTTTTAGACCATTCTTCCTCTCAGATGAGGGATGGCCGTAGATTTGTACTGGAAGAGACAGGAAATCCGCTTTGTTTTATTTTACCGATACATTTAGTTTATTTTGTAACCAACGTTTCTCCTTGTTCTGAGACCTAAAGTGTATTCACATCATTACAAAAATAAATGTAGGTTAAAATATTAAAACACAATGAAACAAAAGCTCACATGGAGACAACCACTGCATTACATTTTAAAAACATTTTAAGTATTGGGGGGAGAATAGAATGCATCCTTGATGAAAGGCCCTTCAACATTCAGTCAGTTGCTAAAAAGCATGTCTGAACAAAAATGTACTTATCTACTTGCAGAAATTCAAAAGGAAAGGAGTCAATCCAGCGTTCCCTGGAGAAGAATGCATAGGCTAGGGGCAACCACCTAGAAGACACTCTAACGCATCTGCACGAAATGTGGTGATGTGAAGAGGAGAAAATAATGTTAAAACCTGAACAGTCATATATGAGGAGATACAGTTCTTCTGAATCAAGAGTGGATGACATCTAAGAGTCTGGAGCCATGTCTGCCCTCTGTGAGCCATACAAATAGATAGCTCAAAATGAGTTAGGTATCTGACTACAGAGTCAGAGGTTGGGCATTTGAGTCCCCATTGCTCATGCCAGGAGAAGAGCCAGCCTATGTAGACTTGGGCAAACTGCTGTATCCAGGTACTCCTACAGTAAGGGAACGGTAAGCCAGTTCTGAGTACTACTGTACTCTGTGCTTAGAAAACCTTGGAAAGGGTGGCTATAACTTAGAGTTGACCTGATGGCATGGAATGATAATTATTATAGTCTGGAGAAGACAAGACTAAAAAGTCAAATGAGATCCAGCTTTGAATGAAGGACTGCCATGTGGAAGACAGAGCAAGCTTACTTTCAGTAAGGTAGGACTTGAAGCAATAGATTGCATGACAAGAACTTTTGACTAAACAATAAGGGTTTTTTTTTTTGGCATTAAGAGCTTCTTGACCATGAAATAGAAAGTAGGGTTGGATTCTCATTGAAGGTTTTTAAACAAAGTCTGGATGGCTTCCTTTCATGGGTGCATTTACTGTGGATTTCTTGCTTTAGTAGAGGGTTGTACGTGATGACTCTTAGGGTGTTCCCCACCTCCTCAACTCAACAGTTCTGTGATATGTAATTCTCCACCCATCAACAAGGGTTCTACCCAATTGCTCAAAGAGGAAATAAAACAGTGAACTTGCTTCATAAACTTATTTGGAAGAACTTCAAAAAAGTTTGGACTACCACTCTTAGAACCCCTTAGCCAGAATCACCAGTAGTTATGCCAGTTGGAGCCTCCCGGAAATCATAGTCCAAACATACGACCTTTCTAAGCTGCCTGAATCAGTGGCCCACATCAATGCTTGTCTGTGTTTTGTGAGCAATCGGCTTCCGGGAACCATAAGAAGTAGTTTTGGTACCTGGGGCAAGCAACATGAAGCGCACTTTCAAATAAACTTTGCAGTTCATGATGTGAAAAGATTCCAGGAAGTATTTAAGACAAAATATAGCTTTCCTTCTGCCTGGGGAGGAGCAATTAGAACAATGTACATGCTCAGGGTGGATGGTTTTGCACCCTTCCAGCAATAGATACAAACAAATGCCTGTATGTGTTCTTTCAATTGATTTATATCTATTTTCTTCTCACTGGTTGCTGTGTTTTCTTTATACTCCTTTTTGCTTGACTTCTCTCCAACACTAAAAAAAGCGCCTCTCCCTTTATTTTATTTTCTTCATTGGTCTGCGCCTATTTTTATGTATTCCTCTCCTGCTCCTTTTCTTTGTCTCTGGTGTCTTGCATTCATTCCTCCAACCCCACTTTGCTTCAATTAACAAATTAGCAAACCATATAGTCTTCTGA